ACATCAGTAGAAAATGATAGATTAAGCTTTTAGATGATTCACTTTTTCAACTTTTCATACGCTTGAGAGACATGGAGTTGTTCTGCTGGATGAGTCACCGAGAGGCTGCTGCTCTGACTGTTCAGCTCCATAATCGTCTATCCCTGAGCTCAACTCCACATTTATGAAAGAGAGAGGTTTGTGACTGCAGAGCCCGTCTGTGTGTGTGAGTGCTAGGTTGGGGTTTTTTAGGGTTAAGGTTAGAATTTGAGTTAGGTTAAGGGCTGTAGTTAGGCATGTAGTTGTATTGGTTGGCTGTGGGAGGGTTTAAATTGACACAATTGGCATAAAAATGATTAAGAATGGTGTTTAGGATGGCTTGGCGGTGAAGATAGTGACTCATCACAGACATACTGATATGCAGACATCCTTCAGACCACATGATAAGCATTTTCTATTACATTTTCAAGATGTAAAATGTCTCTCATATGAACCTCACAGTAACCTAGTGTATTTTCAAAAGCACTGTGGTAGCTACACAACTTGCACAGAGCAGGAAAGGCTCTCTCTAGTGCCAGTGTTTGCTTTGTCCCTTCAGGGCTACTGTAGAAATATGGTGGTTCAACATGGCGGACCCGCTCCCTCTGTAGATAAAACGGCTCATTCTATGCAAGGAAAACGCAATTTCCAGGTGATTATACACGAATGAAAACATACCAATGAATATCATATTCCTTTTCTGCCACTAGATCCTCCTGAATGTTACACACTAGACCCATCTTCACACCGTGTCCACAAAACAGAAATGTTTTAATTGGCTAACAGAAGGGCAGGCTCTGGGGTCTGCAACTGTTCATGTTACAAATGAATGCACTCACGGTACAGTACAGTGAAGGGTTTTGGATAAAAGCCCTCACCAAATGTTTTAAAACATGTGGAATTGTCCAACAACTGCATGCAGTATCACTGGCCAGCCAAGCAGCTTGTTTGGAAAAAAAAACAGAGCAACATGTGTTAATTCACGCTATTATTTCTGTTTTGGATCTGACTGGATTTACTTCAAAAACACAGTTTACTGATATGGAAGCCATTCAGCACAATATAACCAGGATGGAGCCCTTCATGGCCGTCCAGTGTCTGGTTTTCATGAATATCACAGTCTGACGCCTGATGTCACTTATGAACAAATGGAAATCTTTCTGAAATACCACAACAGAACCGCAGTCCAATGGGGCAGAGTGAATGGAAATGTGGGCAGAATGAGCTGCGAGATTTTGAGGACCAGACCATTGTGGCTTTGGCTTCCACTGAAGGAGGAAACAAGGACACTCTTGTCCCAGAAAGAATTAAATATGGAGGCATATATACAAAGAGACCAAATAGGATGTTCATGCATTCTTCGTCTACTTAAAAACCAGAATATTGCTAAAGAGAACTCTCTGAACAAAGCTTTTTACACAGAGGCTACAGCTGCACTGAAAACTGCCTCGCTGTGTGGAGAGGTGACAGATGAGCCAAGAAAATGGTAAAAGCATATGGCTAATGGTACTTTTGACTGTGCAAGTCACGCCTTGAGCTTCTGGGCAAAGGTCGGGTCTATGCTCCTCCCGAAGTAGCAGCATGGTAAGGGGATATTGTGGCCTCTGACTGGTACAGTTGAATCCTGGCAACAGGGAGACATCTGACTCCCAGATGTTATAGACGGCCTCTAATGTGCCGCCAAGACCAGACTCACCTAAAACAGCACACACTGAGTCTGTTTCTCTGTTGTTCTCTGTCTCTTTCTCTTTCAGTCTAACCAACTCCAGCTTAATTCACTCTGTCGTTTGTTCTCTCTGACTCACACTCATGCCCTCACACATGTCTGTTTACATGCACCAAAGGCGTAAAAGTAGACATACTACAGGCATATGTGCAAGACATTATACTGTGGAATATCTTTTTCTGTGTTCTCCACCATTTCCAGCCGAGTCGTCTGTCACTTTTTTCACTTTTTTTTCCTCTTGTTTTTCTCTCACGCTTTTTCTCTCACATCAGCAAACCCACACTTGTGCAACTTCCAACATGTCTGCATGGGCTGCAAACACAAATTTGCAACATAAAAAGACAAAAAAAGAAAAATACACAGACAAATGACGGCACAGAAACTTGGTTAACCTGCTTGCAGACTGTAACCCGAGGCCTGGATTGTCTAGATAAGCCAATCTGGGCAAAGCACTAGTTCTGTTGTGGAGATGTTTGTCATCTGAGTGCATGCGTGCGTTCCATCTGTGTTTGCAATTTATTTTAATACAATTCAGTCATTTGGCTCCTTTCATCAGTAGATTTACTGATTGTTACTGAGCCATGCATTGCACAAACAGGATTTATGTTTGAGTGTGTATATGAGGGACACACAAAGAACGCAAGTAGGAGACGATCTGTTTGTTTATGTGTGTGTTTCTAGTTGCCTATGTATGGCGTGACAGCTGTACTGATTTGATATCCAAGGGCACGCATTACGCCTCCTCTGCAACGCTGTGTAAGCATTTGTAAAAACAAAACTGTCAGAAGATATATATTCAAATGTATTATAGACGACTGAAATATACTCGACCACAGCAGCTGATGAAGAGGCTTTTCCCAATTAAAAAAAAAAACCCATCAGCAATGCTATAAATCACTGCTGTGTGATAAGAGTTTTGTCTTATGTATTTCCAAAACAGAGACTTTTCTGGAAATCAGGAGCAATAAATTAAGGTTTTAAAAACATACAATGGGTTTTGGGTGAATTTTCTTTCACCCTTTCTTTGTTAATAAAACATGAGGAGAGAAACGTCGGGTAAAGAAAAATAAACTCAAGCCTCCAGTTTGTGATGAAGGCTGTATAGTTGATAGTTCAACAGTTGAGGGAGTCCAGTTTAGCTCAGCTGGCAGGTCTGTGCTCTCTGTCAACTTTTTGTGACAGCTTGACAGTGTGGAAGAGCGCTGCTCTGTTTTTGTGTTAGTTTGTGATTGTTTTGTGTGTGCACACTTCTGTTTTTTTGCAACATGTGTCTGACAGATTTTTTTGCATTTCTGGTTTCAACCTCTGGCTTTTGTGTGCTAATATGCACCTCAAATATGGAATCCAATTGTGGACAGATGTTTTCAGGTCATGTGTGCGTGGCAGAGAGTGTGGGAGTGTGTGTTTTTGTATGTGTTTGTATTGTCACTAAGGTTTTGACCTTTGCACTTCCTGCTATTGACTGCCTCTAATTTATTGATCTAGGATCCTGTCTAGGACCAATATATTGCTTTGGCGATGTTGAACCAACAAACATCAGCCGGTAAATATTTCCCAAGGCAGATATGAAGGTTAGGATTGGATTTTTCTCAGCAGCTTCAGGGGTGTTAGTCTATAAGAGCTGCCTCACCTCAACCTTTCTCAACAAACACATGAACCATCTTCAGTGATGTAGTCTGAGTCTCACTTCCTTTCCGGTGTTGTGTTTTATGCAAACATACAAATACAAATCTGTGAGAAACATTCATTCTAGGGAATTATAGAGCAAAAATATTGTCAAATTTAAACTGCACGGATCTATATTCTGTGGATATAAAATGGATGAAATGACAATGTATAATATGCAAGGGGTTTGCTCATGGTGACGAAGCTACAAAATTAACCCAATTTGGCAGTTTTTGTCAGCTTGGCAGATGCTACATTTTCATCTTATTGTTCTGGTTTTACTGCCTACTACTTTACTGTTTGTTCCAATCATATCACTATCATCAACAGGTGTTTGCAGGTGTTTCCAGGTACAGACAGTGCAACTAGCTGGCAAACAAAATGGAGTACTTGGAAGCTAAAGAGCTGGATAGCAGATCAGACTAAAGCTAAAAGGAGAAGGGATATTGGATTTGTAGGATCACCAGAAACTCCAAATGAATGCTAATGATGCTCTGTGTCTTGATAACTGCAGATATTATTAGCAGGAGAGACCTTTTGGTTGCCATAACTTAAATAGGTCAGTCATTTTTTTTATGCAGGTGTTCGAATCTGTCACCAAACATCCCTGTGATACATTCACCTCCTTACAAACCAGAGAGGACAACCAATGACACTACTAGACTGACATCACTGTAAACCTCAATCTCTGCTCCTGTGAGAGCTGCCACCATTATAGTGCATTATCAGAAGGAGATGAGGGCCAAAGTATGCTGTATTGGTTGGGGGCCTCATCTGCAGATAAAACAAGAGGGTTATTTTTTGCTATCATGCTTATTATTGTCAATATGTTGTGTTTGTGTGTTTCTACGTGTGTGATGTGTGTGATGTGTGTCTTGATGTGAAATTTTGGCAAAACAGATTGTAAATCTGTGAATGTTTCCTAACATCTGTTATCTTTACTCAAATATATTCAAGATGACCTGACAAGATACATAATTAATAACTAAGCATCTGGAACCATGATAGGCATAAATCGTGACATTTCATTGCTGCTTCCCACTTAAGATGCCATTTGTATTTTTTAATGAGTGAATGCTCTACACACATGTAATGAAAAGAGTAGCAGCTAGGGCTAAAACAATTCCTCTAGTAACTCTATTACTAAAAACCACTGATGCAATTTCTATGCATCAAAGCTTTATTTAATCCATATAACTATATACAGGATACTGTGTTTCGCACCGATGATCATCAATCTCACACAACAGGCTGTGGAAGAGAGAGAAAATAGCAAGAGACTTAGAGGAAGTGTCCAAAGTTTGGGATCATTTAACTAAACGAAAACTCTGTAGACTGTGTCTTTTGTAAACCCAAACTAGCCTAGCACAATAGCTGACATAGTAAATAGTTACAATAGAACAAAAGCTTAAAACAGCTTCATGGAAAAATACCTAACCTATTGTTTAAAAGTAAATGTTTGATGGTTTGAGCAGCACATAAGACATTTCAATCCCCCTTCACCATCCTGGGGTGTCAGCAAATAAAACTAAAACTAGCCTGATACACCACCTGGGGTAAGTAGGAAAAATTAGTTTTTTGTGCTACTTGCCTCATAGGGGATGAAGAGAGCGAGCTGCTCTGTCTAGAGCTGCTCTGAGGAGTCGCCATTCTGTCCGAGGCCATCTTACTTCAGCTCAGCACCTGAAACACAAGAAATTTAACATAAATATAAATCGTCTTTACAGTCACCTCAGACTACTACTATACGTTACTACATATAAACATTCAACACACACAGTGAACACAACATGCACACACACACACTGCATCCTCCTGGCTGGGTTGTTGGCCACCGCAGTGTTATCCACTACAATATCTCCTTATTGATCCACCTCCAAGCATTCTATTCTTGTCTTGTGTTTTTTTCTCCAAGTAATTTAATTATCAATAAACCTCACTGTTTTAAATAGCTGCAAGCCGCTGGTGTGCCAGTAGAATAATATTTCTTATCTTCTAATTTATTGGCTGGCTGCCAGCCAGTGACTCTCTTCCCTACTTTGAGCCTGAGCAAAAGAGGCTGATGCTCTTAAGTGCCCACAACTTTATTCCGCCGTTTTATTGATGTATCCCATTTAGATTAGTCCATTTTCAATCGGGAGAAGCCACAGACGCCCTCCTGAACCACACTCTAATCCTTTTAGTTAATGATATCCTGCAGTGGTGTGGTTACAGATTTCATGTTTACTGTGCAGTATAATTAGCAGGTAGTTACAAAGTGAGACTATCTCTCTCTCAGGCACACACAGCCTCCCGATGTCACGGAGCAGGTTTCAGCTGTGGTGACCTGCTTTTTATTAAATGATTCCAGAGTGTTATGGGATCGATAGATGTAAACAGGAGAACTCACAAAAAGGCAATTGATAATAAGAGGGATGTTTAATGCACGTGAGATATCACTCGTTTGATCCTATTTTGGTCTTCTTTTTCAGTGCTGCAGTGTTCGAGCTCAAATGCTATGACGACAAAACAACTGATCCATTCTGCAGAGCTCGGAGATGGAGAGGATCAGGCACAACAGTGCATTAGAGGAGTCACCAATTCTGTTTTACTGTTTGCTTCAATTGCTCCGAAACTCCCAGGGTTATGTAATTATGAGCAACCAGGGAACTATATAATGATGGATGAGGGGAAAAGACAGGTTTTGGGGCGTGAGTGACTCAGACCATGACTGTGATTAATAGATACCCAGACGAATGAATAGGTGAAGAGATAGACTTGTTATACAGATACCAGCAGAAAAGAAGAGGGAGAGTGCAGGAAGAAGATGCAGAGAAGGAGAGAAAGGGGGAAAGGAGGGGGTCTTTTAACCGCAGTCTTGGCATGGCTCCTCCAGGGCCATTTTCAGAGAAAGCATCACAGCAAATCAGAAATCATACCAATACTGTGCCAGGTCCATGGAAGTCTGGGAGACTGGCTGTAAGCACCCTGTTTTTTGGGGGGTAAAAAACCCCCCACATCTACACATTCAGTGCAGTTAGAATAAAGTACAATAGAATATCATAGAACAAGGGCTGATATAATTGCATCATTATTAACACAATAGAGGTGTGGATTAATTATATTTGGCCAATAATTGAGCACAGGGTCACCGCCAACGCCAGGCACCATCCAGATTCTATTATATGTGCCTCCGGCTCGTTACAGCGCTCTTCTGTGGATTACCATACAAATGGAGATAAGTTGTCCAATCAAGCAATTCAGTCCTGAGCACTTAGAGTGTGTCGCTAAGTGCCATGTTAAGGACCACTGCGCCGAAAGTGATCTCTTTCAATCTGCAGTGAATGGCCAACAACTGCAAATGCTGCATGAGAGAGGAGCGCAGAAGGTTTTTAGTAAAATGTCAAAGTTTATAGCAGGTTGTTGGTGTTTCTTTTACTGTCTTCTGAACTGATTTAGTTTTAGTGCAGACTGTACTGAGCGCTCTGTTATGCTGTAATAACAGCTGAAGTTTCACCTTCTTTTCTTTTAAAGTAAGACTATTTCCGCAGTTTAAATATCCCTAAGTGCATGAAGGTTGCAAGTGCTACAGAAATAGTTTCCTAAGCAGATGGTCAGCTTTGATGGGATCCTGGCTAATTTTCTTGCTGGGGTGGACATTTCTTTTCATGTCTAGGCTGAAACCTGAGTGGCCCTGTGGGTTTCCCCACTCGGTTGCTGTGGAGAACGTGTCGGTTGTAGGTAAGTCAAACAAAGGACATCTCTGTCTCAGCCTCATGTCACATGCCGGGTAAAATAACAACCACTCAGTAACTTGTGTGTCTAAGGGAAATCACTATGGTGTACCTTCCAGATTTACGGCAGTGCTCGTGTTTATTCTTTGCATGTGCATAGAGGGGGATTTAAATCTTGGTGTGTGCTTGTGTGCATGTTTCTGTCAGATGCAGTTTTTCAGTGATGTTTCATGTAATGTCTGTCCCTAGTCAGTCACGCTATCTGCTGCATTTAATTTAAAAGTCATCTTTTTTATTTGAGCTCAGTAGCCTTGATACATTATGGCTGTGTAGCTCAACTGCTTGACTAAGCTTGAGAAGAGAAAAGGCTTAAATAATGAGCCAGTGTTTAAAGGTGTATACCATAAAGAACAAAAGTGAAACCAGAACTTCAAGGGTCAAGAGAACCTAATTGTAATAATAAAAATTCCCAACATCATTTCTACAACACAACCTTTCTAACCAGTATGTGACACAGTTCTCCCCATTTGTCTAGACAGGTATAAAATATATTTAAAACAATGTAATATTATTGTTTATATAATATTTCTGTTTCATCTGCTTTCAATGGACATTGACCAACCCAAGACTGCCACTGGTTAAACAACCCCAGTTAGACAAACTGACTACTGGCCAGTAGCTAGCTATGACAATGGACTTTCTCTTGTCAATCTCTAGAAGCTGTAACAATAGCACACCTTCTTACCTTTTCCCAAAAGGGGAAAATAATTATTATGTAGGATATGGGATAAACAGATAGGATGATATACACCGATCAGCCATAACATTATGACCACCTGGGCACCCTGGTGGACATCGCAATTTGGCTCTTGTCAAAGTAGCTCAAATCCTCATGCTGCCCATTTTTCCTGCTTCTAACACTTCAACTTGAGGACAAAATATTGATGATACTTGCTGCCTAATATAGCCCACCCACTGACTGGTGCTATGATAACCAGATAATCAGTGTTATTCACTTCCCCTGTCAGTGCTCATAATGTTATGGCTGATTGGTGTATAATCATTGTGCTACCTTTGTGAAAGAATTGAATGGGAGTATAGTTTTTTAAATGCTAACAAAGTGATTATTGATTAAGTTTGTTAAAATCACATGTAGCAAGTAAATGCAAGTTTGTTTTAGAATAGAGTTAATAAACCCCAGGAACCTCTGATATTAAAGTTAGAGGACTTGTGACAGACTTTTCAAAATTGGCACCAGAGCTATCCTTCCCGTTTGGTCTCTATATGCTTGTTACTCTCGTAGTTCATTCTTAACAAACAAATAAAGGAACATATGCGCAGACCAAGTATTCATTGTCCGCTGACCTCATTGTCTGTGCTCTCCTTAAGAAATCACTGGTTAAAAATACATTTCCAGCCCTTTTTATATTATTCTGTGGTGAAGCAGAATGCCTCTCACAGATTCTGGGTAAAACCGCTGCAAGAATACAAAAACTGGTCTGCAGAAAACAAAATACCACAACACTGTGGCTTTGCTTCAGTGTTGTGCCAAAAGCAATGAATTTCTGCTTGACAAAAACAGATAAAATTAAACTGAGAAAATCAGGAGAAACAAGCAAAGCCACTCACCATTTTAAGAAGCCAAAAACAGCCTGAATCACTGTGATGTGATGGAGGATAGAGTGAGTCAGGCTGTGTACTCCAAGTTTAATATCCTTGCTGTTTCAGGAGTGCCTCATTGTGTAACCGATTCCTTATGGTTTGGCTTTATTTCAAAACTGCCAACAATTAAATACAAAATGCTTCTTCTCCTACAGCTGCCCTAACTCACACAGACTAAGGAAAGTATCTACTAAAGAAGTTGTCTCTGGCCTTTGGCCTTTAAATACAGTGGACATGCTCTGCATCGGCGACTTGATGGAGCCGTGCCGCTCATGTCCTATCATTGAGCTGGAGACTGGGTTCACAGGAGGAGACAGCGGTTGCAGTCCCACCACAGAGCTGTCATGTGGAGAAAGCAGAGCAGGATGGGTACTGTATGGGTGGTTGGGAGGGAACAAACTGGAAGCAGGCTGTGCTGAGCCATGGACCCAAAATTCCCATCCCACACACAGTGGGCTGGCTCAAAGTGGGCCCTTGTACTTGGACAGAGAGACCCACACAGGGCAGCGGATAATGCCTGATGTGAACTGCTACTGTCTGAGCGTTTGGTGAGTCAGCTTGTTGTACAATGCTGAAGCTTCTATAACACGGTCCTACTTACAACCATATCCATAGTTATTTCATGGTTAGTAGAATACACACAATATATTTTTTTTTTCATTGACTTTTCTTCTCTACTTATAAGATTTGTAATAGCCCCAGTAAAAAAAAAAAAACAACAACCTCAAAATCCAGGCAGTTTTAGTGCCATGTTCAACCCACTGAGCAAAGTAATCATACATCATACACTGAAAGAGGTTTATACCAAAGCAGGAAGGTGACTCAAGTCATTTGGTCCAAGTCTCAAGCAAGTCCTAAGGCATTTTTTCTTGGGAAAGTCAAGTCACAGGTTATGTCAAGTCAAGTACTGACTGACAACATTTCATGCAGCATTAAATGACTTGCAAACATTAAAAAAATGGTCAGCTTTAAAACATATTTTAGAGATTGAGATTCAATGTATCTGTGGTTTGCAGAAACATTACAATGCCAACTTTTCTTTGTAGCAATTGGGCTGATTAGTGATATCAGTCATTATCAGGCTAATGTAAGCTAGCTGTGGAGTTGTGAGAGCATTTGGACAGCATCCAAATCACAATGACTGATTGTAATATGCTAAATTTCCTGTTAAAAGACATTTAAACAGTTCCAAAATAGTAGAGTAAACCCTGAACAAGGGAACACAGAAAGGGAGCAAAGACATAATGCTAACATAACTCAATATGTACTCAATATGTTTGACACAAAGTACTTACTGCCTCAACCATG